GCAGTGTAGAACAATACACTGAGGGGAGCTGGTGTGAATCGCTCTCTGCTACATCAGACGCATCATAGGTGATGTGACCCAGGACACTTGGATATGTGCTCCTAAAACTGATACATATCTGATCTTTTGACATGTGACTTCAGTCTGAACGGCCAAAACGCATTCATCCATCTACACGTCATCAACAAGCCACAAACGTCACTATTCTGCGCTGAAGTAGGCGAAAATTGTTAATGAACTCCGTGTCACTGAAGTGAAGCACATCACCACTCACCACTCTTGGCTCCGTCTCCACATCCACACGTTCCTTTCAACGGACGTCGCTGCCGCTGTCCCACAAAACACCACGACCACAAACCTCGTCCTTCTCCTTCTCAATCTCCTCCTTAAAACAAGTAAGTTGTTCATGTTCTGGCTCTGGTACGAGAGGAACTTTAAAATCTCCAGGTGCTCAATGCTGCATCCATGTTTGGACAACTTCTGTAAACACAGAGACGCTCGCTGTGGTTGACGTCGTCGTGTCTCCAGTGTCACATGTGGGACACTTTTGGGCCGTTTAATGTTCACACTGGAGTCACATACAAGTCACATTTAATTGGAAATGTGAACGACCTCGCAAAAACATCGGAAATGAGCGTTAAGCCCTGCAGTCTGAACGTAGACTTAGAAAGTAAAAAGCTCTGAAAAGTTGATTTTGCATGAGATGGGCCCCACATCATTCAACAGCACTGCACAGTCATTTTGGTCAGTGGACTTAAGTTGTTTCAGATGAATATTGTGATTTAAAATGTCCAAATGATAAATAATGATCCATGGGTGTCATAGATGATAACTACAAAGCAGACGCATGCACTGTACGTCTGACTGAATGTATTTCATTTGATGTTTTATTTAAATGTGAATGTGATGATCATGTATTCTTTGTACTTTTTTAAATGTGTGAATGTATTTTTGCAGTATTGTGTTGATGTTGTACAGAGCAGAGGAACAGGTGGAAGGGAGGAGGGGGACTGAGGGTCATTCAACGCTGCAGGCAAAAAACACTGTGTCTATATGTGAAAAAGAGAGAGAGGGAAGAGAGGGAAGAGAGGGAGAGGGAAGCGAGAGAGTAGTAAAAGAGAGGGGGAGAAGAAGAGAGAGAAAGAGAGCGAGAAGAAAAGCTAAAACAACGTCTCTATAATGTGAGGGAGACAGAAATGGTTAGAGGAGAGAGGGAGAAAGAGAGAGCTAAAAACAGACAGAGCGAAAAGACAGACAGATATTAATTGCAGGAGAGATGGTGAAGAGAGATGGGTAGAGAAGAAAGAGAAGAGAGCCAAACACGGTGTCTCTAATGTGAGAGAGAGAGAATAAAGCTGAGCAGGGACAATAACAGTAAGAGGAATTATTAACTGAGATATTTATTTATTTTTATTTTTAATTGAGTCAAAAAATGCATTAGCTCAAACTAGAGACTAAGTAAAGAAGTGGACAAAGCGAGTGTGATGTCAGCGTTCAGCTCCAGTCAAATGAAGCTCACTGAGGCCAACAGTTACAGGAGTGAATTTGGAGTTGAGTTCCACATGAGGAATAGAAACTGATTTACAGACAAAATAGTGAAATAAAAACACCAGGATCATGTAGAGAGAGTTAAGACCAAAATGATGAGGCTGAAAACAGCAGTCACACAGCAAAAACTGGAGGGTTACAATTTCAGAGTAAAATATTTCAGTTGTTTTTAACTCAAAAAGTGTTATTTTAACGATTTGAAAGTTAAATGGGAGTTCGAGTTAATATGGTTGAAGTTAACTTCAACTTCTGTTAGTGTTAATTTGGCTCCTCCCACCCACTTCAAACTCCTGCAACAGAAGACCAGTTTGAACCAGTTTTGTGCATAATTTCATCTTAAATTAACTAAAATAAAGACAAAATCGTGAATTAAAAACACCAGGATCATGTAGCGAGGGTTAATACATCATTTTAAGACCAAAATGAGGAGCCAGAAAGAGGTGGTTACAAAGAGAGTGGAGCAGTTTTTTTCAGTATAAAGTGAGTTTTTTCAGGCCAGCTGAGTTTAGGAGGGTCCTGACAGAGTTTGTAGTGACAACAGAGATAATAATTCAAACAAACATTAAATACATCTTTTACTTTTGTGCTGATTTAGTTGTGAGAAAAGTGTCTGCGTGGACACCAACTCCAAACCCCAAAAAACTGCAGGTTTGGGAAAAGGTGGGTGTGAAAAAAGTGTCTTTGTTTCTGTTTGAGCAGGTGATTAGTGAGTTCGCTCTGGTCTGGTCAGAGAGAGAGGGACGAAAGAGAGGGAGGACAGAGGGAGAGGAGAGAGGGAGAGAGAGGCAGGGTGAGTGACAGAGAGAGAAAGAGGAGGGAGAAAGGGTGAGAAAGCAGGAGAGAGGGAGTTAGAGAGAGAGAGGGCAGAGTGAGAGAAAGAGAGAGAAAGAGAGAAAGAGAGAGGGAGAGCGTGGGGAGAGAGGGCAGAGGGCTCTCAGTGCCTCCAGCTGCCCCACGGCTAATGCAACAAATACACTCTAATACTACAACTACTGATACTACTGCTGATACTTCTACTACTACTGCACTTTCTATGGCTACTAAAACTACTACAGTGCATACTATTACTATTACTACTACCACTACTGTTGTTTCTACTACTACTACTACTATAACTTCTACTGCTACTGTACACACTCACTCCAAATACACAAGTACCCAGGTAGTACATTACAGGTACTAGGCAAGAGTAAACCCTCAAGTACACACTGAATCACACAGTGAAGTACACAGTGAAGTACACAGTGAAGTACACAGTGAAGTACACACAGGTGTGTGTCCTGAGGCTGTGTCCTCTTTGTCTGTAGATGATTAAAAACAACTGGATTCCTCTTTTGTTCTGAATCTCATCTCACATAAAACCTAAAAACACTGACTGAAAATACAGGAGCAGCACTGGCTCAGGTGGTAGAGCCGTCGCATCATAACCAGAAGTTTGGTGGTTCAGTTCCAGCTCTGATGTGTCCTTGGGCAAGACACTTCACCGCTCTGTTCAGTGTGAGTACAAGTGTGGCTACAGACTCTCAGCATCAGTGACGAGTGAATGAAAAATGATGTAAAGTGACATAATAAAAACTAAACATGACCTGTGTATTGTCCTGTGTGGAAATGAGACTCACCGTCACTGAGTCACTCCTCTGACTCCGCCCTCACACACAACAGACGGGATGATTGACAGCTCCCTGAAGGAAATGAGGGAACAAGGATGGAAACGAGGAAGGATGGAGGAGAAAGAGAAGAGAGAAGTGAATCTACACTGTAAAAAGAGAGGCATATGCTTTAGTACAAATGACGTGAATTCATTAGAGGAGTTTTGACCTTGACAAAAACAAATTTAACTCCAGCAGAATTTGGTTGATTGACAGTGGGGAATCATTTACAGATTTTTACAGTGTGCGGTGCATTTCTTGTTTGTGAAAAGTTGAGAACGAAAAACACGAAAATCTGTCTTTTTTAATTGGCTCAAAGTAATCTGTGAGTAAAGGCAAACACGCAGAGTTTACACAGAATAAATCTGACAAATAAACAAACAACAGAAGAGAGGAGAGAGAAAGAGAGAAAAGGGGAGAGAGGAGAGAAAATGAGAAAAAGAGGGCAAAGAAGAGAGGAAATCTGTGTATCATTCGTTCATTAGTTTTTCAATATAAAACCAAAAATAAGAAAACGAAAAAAAAAAAACTATTTTCTTCATTATTTGTCTCCAAAATCAAAATGAAAAAACAGATAATGATTCGATTTTTCCAGTTTTCGATTTTGTGTTTAAATGAAGAATGGAAAAAACGGATAACGGCCGTTTCCCATTACGTGACTTTCGTGACTGTGATGTCGGACTTTTGCACCGCATACGGACTGAACCAGGACTGATCCAGGTCCGGGACCAGAATGGGACCAGGCTGGGAATGACACCGAGACTGAGACCGAGACCAGGACTGAGACCGAGACCAGGACTGAGACCGGGACCGAGACCGGGACTGAGACCGGGACTGAGACCGGGACTGAGACCGGAACCAGATCACGACTGAGACAGAGATTGAGACAGAGACCAGACCGGGACTGAGACCGGGACCAGACCGGGACTGAGACCGGGACTGAGACCGGGACCAGACCGATACAGAGACAGAGACTGAGACAGAGGCCAGACTGGGACCAGAGCGGGACCAGAGCGGGACTGAGATCGAGACCAGACTAGGACCAGAACGGGACTGAGACCGGGACCAGACCAGGACCAGGCCGGGGACTGAGACCGGGACCAGACCAGGACCAGGCCGGGACCAGACCGGACGCTCAGAGCCCATGGCAGGGCCGGAGCTCGAAGCTGAGGCCTGGACCCTGCTGAGGCTCAGAGTCAAAGCTTGGAGTCTGCTCTGGTCCCACTCTGGTCCCAGACCTGGGTCAGTCCTGGTTCAGTCCGTATGCAGCGCAAAAGTCCGACATCGCAGTCACGGAAGTCACGTAAACGGAAAACGGTCGTTATCCGTTTTTTCCATTCTTTAGTTAAACACAAAATCGAAAACTGAAAAAACGAATCATTATCCTTTTTTTTCATTTTGGAGACAAATAATGAAGAAAACTGTTGTTTTTTCATTTTCTTATGTTTGGTTTTATATTGAAAAACGAATGAACGAATGATACACGGATTAGAGGAAGACAGAGATGGGGAAATTGGGGGACAAGAAAGAGCTGGAATAAAAATGTAGTCCGACTTATAAAGCAGGATTGTGACATGTGTGAATGAAACAAAACACAACTCCAGGTCTGTTTGTGAGAACAGAACAACATTATAACATGACTTAAAGCTCTCAGGAGTCAGTTTTGCAGAAAAAAGTTCCCCACAAGAGCAGAAAAAGAAAGAAAAGAAAAAGTAGCTGCCCTCACCTGTCACCTGCTCCTGTTTCATGAGCCCATCTCTCCTCCTCCTCTTCCTCCTCTTCTCTCTCTCTTCTCTCCAGGACTGAATAGTAGCTCGGACTCTCTCTCATATTCCCTTGATCGAACCTCAGACCGGACTCTCCTCGCACTTCCTCTGGATCCTGGTTGTGTTGGGGTCTCTTCTGTCTCTTGGGAGCGGAGAGGCTGTAGCAGAGCGGGGGTCCCAGGTACACCTCCTCCGTGCAGGCTGGGAACAGTGTCTCCTCGTCTCGGATCTCCGGACTGAGCGCGTGGAGCGGGTTTGGGTCGGACTTCTCCTCTCTCTCCTGGTTCGAGAGGGAGTTTTCCGGCGTGGTTTTCCTGAAATATTGCGGGGTGGGAGAGCTGAGGCCGTGCGTGGGGGAATTGCTGGAGGAAGAGTTGGTTTTGTGTTCTAACATCTGTAGCACCTCTCCACAGTCGCTGTCGTGAGAGGACAGAGACAGGTACGAATAGAAGTCTCCGTTTCTGAGCTGAACCGAGCGGTGAGAATGCTCCAGCACCTGCACCGCAAAAAGAGAACAGGTTCTAACACACGTTTGACTACAGGTTTTTAGTCTAGTTTTACTCTTTAAAGCTGCAATGTGTAACTTTTCTGGTGGAGGGTCCGTCACCTGTACACAGTGTGACATTAACCAGCTCTAGGTTACATTTATTCAATCACAGGTGCTTTTATAGCTCAAAAAATACATAGAAAAACAACATTCTGAGTGTGAGCGGGGTCGCCTCTCCACAGATCTGACCTGTAACTTCTGTTGGTCTGGTTTGGTCTCCATGCAGATAGAAAGGTTTAATGCCATACTGTGAAACATTCCAGACAAAGCAACAACATCTCCATAGAGAAAAGCATTTGACGGAGCCACCACCAGAAAAGTTACACATTGCACCTTTAAAGACGCAAAAACTATAAACTGCTAAGACATGTTTCGATCTTCATGTCACCGTCTATTGTTTTCAAAACGCAATACTGACTCAAAACAACGTATGAACATGTTTTATAAGTTTCACTGTGTTTTGATTCGTTCACACATGCATATTTAGTTCTTCTTTCAAACTGAAAACACTCTGTTCCACCTCGTGATGTCATGTGGTAATTAGGGTTGTGCAAAAATGTAAAAATATCGATATATCGTATTGTTTAATGTGATGATACAGTATTGATATTGTGGGCTGCTGTATCGATATATGACCAAGAATATTAGTACAAGTAGTATAGTAAATGATTTGGTTACAGTGCTACATAGAGGTGTAACGATATGATATTGTCATGGTATGAACCTCACAGTACGATATTTATTGCGATATTTTGTGGAGGCTGCGAACAAAACTATTAATACGCTACTTTTTCCTCTTAAAATGCCTTGATAAAACTTGATCCAAAGAAGTAAGACTTAAAAGTGTTAGAACTTTTATTTCTTCTTGTCGTCTGCACTGAAATGGAGCAAAGGATCATGGTCTATGTAGTTCTCTCTGTCTTTTTTTTTTAGCTGTTGCTGCACCATAACTCTTCATTTAAGCAAACAGACTTGTAATTCGATATATTGTGATGGTCCACGATATTACTGTGAGAACTTTAACGATACGATATCACGATATTTCGGTTATTGTTACATCCCTAGTGCTACAGTTTTGTTTTTTGTTCAGTGGAAGGAAACTCGTTTATGTGACACATTTGACATTTTCACTGTTTTGATGATTAAAATGTTTGTGTTTCATATGAACTTTACACAAGAAGTGGTTTAACAAAGAATTTTAGTATCACAGCCAAGATTTAACCATTCGTTTTTATTTATCGTATCAAATTGATTTGAAATATATCATATCAAATTGAAAGTGCACTGTATCCAGATATGTATGGTATCGTGGCCAGTGTATCGAGGTGTGTATAGTATCGGCAACTTCTTAATGACACCAAGCCCAAGTGGTGGTGATACAGGAAGTGCTCCACTGTGTTTTTAATTTCAATTTCAGATCTGGAATTGCCTGTACTGAGCAAAAGTACAGATTAACTTGAAATTCTCAGCTTCATGACATCACAAGGTGGAGCAGAACATTTTGAGCTTTGGAGATGTAGACAAACTAATACAAATATAAAAAGAACTAGAGAGCGCAGACCTCCGCCAAGGACTACATTTACATACATATTAATTGTGTTTTCCATAAATATTTGTCTCGTATCTTTCAATTTGGAATATGAAAGAGGATCTGATTGTCCATCCCTGAGTCAAATTTCATGGGGTTTGGTCAATAATTAACAGAGATATTGAGAAACACAATTTTTGGCCCCATTTACCACAATGTTAACAAAAAATTTCAAAGTGATCCAGAATCCAGGATTTCTTCCGGATCACCCCCAAAATGAAATCAGTTCTTCCTTTTCAAATTTCCAACAAATCCTGAAAATTTCGTCAAAATCGGTCCATAACATTTTGAGTTATGTTGCTAAAAGACAAACAAACAAACAGACAAACAAACAGACAAACACCGGCAAAAACATAACCTCCTTGGTGGAGGTAATAACACAAACATGTGTGGATGAAACAAAACACAACTCCAGGTTTGTTTTTGAGGAGGTAACAACATTAGAACATGACTTAAGGCTCACAAGCATCAATTTTGCATTTTAACACACAAACCGTGCATATTTAATTTCTCTTTTCCATTTTATGATGTCATGTGGTAATACAGGAAGTGCTCCACTGTGTTTTTAAACTCCCCACACCTTCACTGGAATCATTTGGATCATTTCAGCTTGAATTTTGTCTTCTCCTCTTTCCTTTCCATGTTCAGTTTTTTTGAGTCAATATCTGCGCATCTCATTTTAGTTCTTGAAAACATTTGAACAATTTCACATTATACTTAGTGACATTTTCAAAAGTATTTCGTGTAAATCCTTGCTCCTCCTGCTCAGTGTGTGTATTAAATCGCGGTGGGGGCTGGTTGATGACTTTCTGATCGGGGATGCAGATTTCATCATTACTTCTTCAGCTCTGATCTATGAAGCGCTTTATTGAATTAGCGCGTTTGGGTGCACACATTAAAACGGAAAGACTTTTACATTTGAGTCAAAGAAACACAGGGTCACACAGGACGCAGAGTGAAACTTCAGCCATTTCTGAGTCAGATCCATCATATCATTTCAACATTTACTCATTTTTGGAGACGATTTGATTATCTGATCTAATATAACTGCTCTATTACAATTTTAACTTCTGAATAATTTTAGCTGCCGGAAAAATCTGCAAAAATGTGAGGAGGGACGATTTCTTTTTGGCCGTGTTTCATAAGCTAAGCCAATTTAATGTTCAAGAAGAGAGTCCCTAATTTTCATACTTTGAAAATCATGAAAAAAACATGCAGTAAAAGGGCCTGTTCTGATTTTTCCAACTGTATATGAGCAAAACGTGTCTCCACAGTCCAGATATATTATATCTGCAGTGTCGGGGAGTAACAGATTACATGTACTGGAGTTAAGTAATCAGAGTACAAATTATGAGTAACTGTATTCAGTTACAGTTGCTGTTTCAGTGAGTGGTAATTGGATTACAGTTACTTTGTTGAAATAAATGGATTACACAGAGGTATTTTCCTGTTTTCACATTATTTTTTATTTTTATTTCTTTTTTTTTCCCTTTTTTTTCGGTAATTCCACTCATTGCTGGAAAGTAAACCAGGACTAAAACCAGGTCTAAACCAGGTCTAAACCAGGACTAAAACCAGGTCTAAACCAGGTCTAAACCAGGACTAAAACCAGGTCTAAACCAGGTCTAAACCAGGTCTAAACCAGGACTAAAACCAGGTCTAAACCAGGTCTAAACCAGGTCTAAAACCAGGTCTAAAACCAGGTCTAAAACCAGGTCTAAACCAGGTCTAAAACAGGTCTAAAACCAGGTCTAAACTAGATCTAAACCAAGTCTAAACTAGATCTAAACCAGGACTAAAAGGTCTAAACCAGGTCTAAACCAGGTCTAAAACCAGGACTAAAACCAGGTCTAAACTAGATCTAAACCAGGACTAAAACCAGGTCTAAACCAGGTCTAAAACCAGGTCTAAACCAGGTCTAAACTAGGACTAAAACCAGGTCTAAACTAGATCTAAACCAGGACTAAAACCAGGTCTAAACTAGATCTAAACCAGGACTAAAACCAGGTCTAAACCAGGTCTAAACCAGGACTAAAACCAGGTCTAAACCAGGTCTAAAACCAGGTCTAAACCAGGTCTAAAACCAGGTCTAAAACCAGGTCTAAACTAGATCTAAACCAGGTCTAAACTAGATCTAAACCAGGACTAAAACCAGGTCTAAAACCAGGTCTAAACCAGGTCTAAGGACTAAAACCAGGTCTAAACTAGATCTAAACCAGGACTAAAACCAGGTCTAAACTAGGACTAAAACAGGATTTAACAGGACTAAACCAGGTCTAAACTAGGACTAAAACAGGATTTAACAGGACTAAACCAGGTCTAAACTAGGACTAAAACAGGATTTAACAGGACTAAACCATGCTGCGCAGATGTGTCTCCTCCTCTTCTATCAATAATATTTTTAATACGGTTAAGTATTCTCGTCTTTGCTTCTCTACAGCAAATCAACTAATCCAAAGTATTCAGATTACGTTACTCACTTTAAGTAATTTAATGGATTCTGTTACAAACTACATTTTGGTGTATGTAATCTGTATCTGTAGGGGAATACATTTAAAAAGTCACCTTCCCAACACTGTGTATAAGCAGCTTTTGGGGTAAAAACCGTCTGTATCAGATTCTAACGTGTTTTACTGTCCAATAATCACAAAGTGCACTGTTACCATGCGAAATTGTTAGTGTTACAGTGACATCCAAGTCTCAGAAAGTTCTTATAATAATAATAATGACTCATCGTGGTGAATAATAAAGATGAATTTTAAGAGGTACAGAGAATAAGAAAACTTACCATAAACGTATTATAATTTGAATATTAAAAAAAAAAAAAAAAAAAAATTGTGTGCATGAGTAAAAGTAGTTTTCCAATGGTTTTGTTGATGTAATGATAACACTTCCCCATTCTCCTGTATCCTTGTGTGTCAGATGCCCTCCCACCCTCCTGTATCCTTGTGTGTCAGATGCCCTCCCACCCTCCTGTATCCCTGTCAGAGTCCTGCACCCAACGTTTACCCGCAAATAGTTCCTGAAACGGGCGGGTTTTAGTGGAATTTAACAGGCGGGTATGCAGGCGTGTAGTGATTACACACAAGCGCACCAGGTGAATCAAATAAACATTGAACGAGAGAAAAATACTTGACGTGCGTCCAGGACGTCCGTTGCCCTGGAAACAACTGACATTTCCCAATCTTTTCCTGGGACGATGGCAACCAGGCTGAAAGAGACTTGAGTGTTTTTTTTATTACATAAAACCATAAACATCAACAGTGGTGATCAGCTTGGCATCTGCACTCCTGGTTTAGTCCTGGTTTAGACCTGGTTTAGACCTGGTTTAGTCCTGGTTTAGTCCTGGTTTAGTCCTGGTTCAGTCCTGGTGTATTCCTGGTGATCGACAGTTTGACAGTGGTGCAGTTTGTGGTGAGTATATATTTATAATTCGCTAATGACGCGCCATAGGTTCAGTCTTGGTTTAGTCTTGGTTTAGTCCTGGTTTAGTTGGTTTAGTCCTGGTTTAGTGGTTTAGTCTGGTTAGTCTGGTTTAGTCCTGGTTTAGTTTTAGTCCTGGTTTAGTCCTGGTTTAGTCCTGGTTTAGTCCTGGTTTAGTCCTGGTTTAGTCCTGGTTTAGTCCTGGTTTAGACCTGGTTTAGTCCTGGTTTAGTCCTGGTTTAGTCCTGGTTTATGGTTTAGACCTGGTTTAGTCCTGGTTTAGTCCTGGTTTAGTCCTGGTTTAGACCTGGTTTAGTCCTGGTTTAGTCCTGGTTTAGTCCTGGTTTAGACCTGGTTTAGCCTGGTTTAGTCCTGGTTTAGTCCTGGTTTAGTCCTGGTTTAGACCTGGTTTAGTCTGGTTTAGTCCTGGTTTAGTCCTGGTTTAGTCCTGGTTTAGACCTGGTTTAGTCCTGGTTTAGTCCTGGTTTAGTCCTGGTTTAGTCCTGGTTTAGACTGGTTTAGTCCTGGTTTAGTCTGGTTTAGTCCTGGTTTAGTGGTTTAGACCTGGTTTAGTCCTGGTTTAGTCCTGGTTTAGTCCTGGTTTAGTCCTGGTTTAGTCCTGGTTTAGTCCTGGTTTAGTCCTGGTTTAGACCTGGTTTAGTCCTGGTTTAGTCCTGGTTTAGTCCTGGTTTAGTCCTGGTTTAGTCCTGGTTTAGTCCTGGACTATTGGACTAATGGGCTGACCCTGATCTATCACAGCCATGGGCAGGTAACAGGTGAAATGTTAACGGGTCCGGGCAGGTGCAGATTTATCTTTTATATAATCACGGGTTAACGGGCGGGTGTGGTGCTGTATGCGCAGGTGCGGGCGGGTGCGGGCAGGTGCGGGTCTCCAAAAATGAACCCATGCAGGACTCTGATCGCTGTAGTGTTAGACTGAGATGGGAGCAGCTCAAATGTCTTTAAATGAATGTGCAGGTGTTGTGTTGTGTCAGATGCCCTCCCAGGTGTTGTGTTGTTGGTACCTTGTCTCTTATATGCGCTCCCACGGTCTCCTCTGTCGTCTCCGTCTCGTCTCTGTTTCTTCTCGCGTTGGTCAGATCCATAATCTCCATCACAAAGTCGTGCACGTTCTCCTCGCCCGGCTTCGGCTCTTCAGAATAAAACGTCCCTGGATGGTGGCTGCAGCAGTGAGCGCCGTGACGTCTTTTATTGTGAACATCCCTGTCTCTCACTTCTCTTTTGGCCTGCTCCTGCACCAGAGACATGAACTTAAACTTCTCCTGAATCGTGATGGCTTTCCTCCCGTTTGTCTTTTTGCGCAGTGCATCGTGGGAAGTCGAGTCCTCTGTTGGCGACGGCGGCGACTGCACGGACGAATTGTGGCACGGAAGTTCACCTTTTAACTGTCCCACTAAATACGAAGAGCTTTTAGAACCGTCCTGCTTTGCCGTTTCAGATTGTGAGAAAAAATCGCTCATATCTTGTGCTATTTCTTCGGTATTTGCGTAAAAATCTCGAAGCGTCTCGGATTTTTTCGTAAAAACGCTCGATTCTTCCCGTAACAGTTCATCGTCTGCGTCTTTGCCTTTTAAACAGCTTTGGTCGACATTTCCGTTCTCGACATCGTCCACGAACTGGCTGATGTAGCTCCTGGTGGTGTTACGTCTGTTTTCCTCCTCTGCGTTTTTGTTTCTCTTATTTCCAATGAGTTTGGAAGAATTAAAACATTTCTTATCCGTGTTTTCGTTGCGGTGGAGGTTGGACCCACACTGCAGCTCGTCTTTCAGTCCGATTTCAGATTTGGAAAACGGCGTTTGGATCCAGTTTTGTAGCTCTTTCTGCATGTAGTCCAACCCGAACGGAGAGTCGAATTCTTCTTCGTTGGCGGACGACGTGGCACTAAACCTGTCCTCCATTTCGTCTCTCACTCCCAGCTCCTCCTCCGTTAACGTCGACGAAGACAAGAGATCGCTGTTGTCATCTTCATCATCTGTGCACGCTGAAGAGACATTGACGACCATGCTTAAGCTCGCTACGTCCATTTCCTCCGGTCTGTTCCCGTGCTTTTTGCAGTAGAAGTTTGCGTTCGCAGCATTCGCGGGATCCATGAACTTGTTTTTGAAATCGTCTGAGTTTTGAGACAGATCTTCGGCGCTGCTCAGTTCGGTCAGAGAAGCGGTGGCGGAGCTTTCCTGGATCAACGACGGAGGGCTTAAATGGAAAGAAATCCCGGACAACGGCGAGATTTTCCCGCCGAGAGACGGAGAAGCGGGAATTCGGTTCGGAGACGTAGTAATCAGCGCCATGTCCGACATACTCCGGGTCATCTTGCCTCCTAACGGGCTCTGGATGTTCTCAAGTCTTTTCAGCAAATCTAGCGTGCGTCTGCTCAGCTCCTCGGACGAATTTTCCACAAATTTGTCAAAACTTAAATCTTGTTTTTCCGCAACTTCCTCGGTTTGTCCTTCTACGCTTCGATTAGCGTTATCGAGAGAAGCACTTCGCTGCATCGGGAACAGTTCCACGCCCATCGCCAGCAAAGACTCAAGTGACGAACCGTGAGATAAAACAGGGCTGAACCGATTTTCTAAGCCAGACTTTTGCTCGAGGTTTAATTCCTGATACGGTTTTGCAGATTCAAATTCTAAATCAGAATCGGAATCAGCGGGAGTTAAAATTCCACGTCCGTTTATCAAGATCTCGACCGCTTCCCCCCTTCGAGGTCTCCGGTTTTGCATGTAGCTTTTCTTGCCCATAAACTCTTGCGTTCTTTCAAAATCCGTGTTAAAACTTCCAATTTCTTCCTTATTAATCCTTTCCAACGTGCATCTTTCATTCATTTTTCCATCGTCGACTTTATCCTCAAAATCTTGTATTTCAGAGTTTGCCATCTCTGTATCTCCGGCGTCAATTCCACTTTCGCTTTCCGATCTACGACTATTCACCGATATTCCACGTTCGATACCTTTCTTAACTTTACCATTACATTTTTCCTGCTTTTGTTTCATTATTCCTCCTAAAATATCCGGTAAAGATTCCACAGATGAAAATGAAGAATCTTTACTCAGTGATTTTGTCAACAGTTTGTGCTTTCCAGTTTTGCTTTTCAAATTTGCTTGTGGGAATTGTGGCTGTTTGTACAACTCCACATCGTGAAGACTGTAAACTTGATAAACAAGGGTGGAATTTGCAGTTTTTTGTGAGTTTAAAGTTGAGTGGTTTTGAGCAGGTAAATCGTGGGTTAAATCCGGTTCTTGGGTCTCCTCCGCGGATTCGGAGATGGTCATGTCCGTCTCGTCCCATTCCCACGAGTCATCGGTTAAAATTCCCGACGTTCCGACGTTTTGGGCCGAGGTGATCTGATGGAGGTCGACCAACCCGGGCTCCAGGAAGTTTCCAGGGACCTGAAAGAACAAAAATAATATATGAGTGTTTTAAACGTGTAACATGGGTTGGTCAGAAGTTCTGTTGTGTTTGGGTGCACATTTTAGTTGGATTCATAGATATTTACACTGAAAAAAAGACTGAAGAGGTTCAAGGTCATGGCTTAGAGTTACATTTTGCTTACCGTATTTTTTGGACTATAACGTGCACTGGATTATTAGGCACAATCTCAATAATGTTGAACTGTCTCGTCTGTTTTCATACATAAGACGCACAGGACTACAAGACGCATTAAGAGAAACAAATGGACGACACTTGAGACTGATCCTTAGTCCAGGCGTCCACGATCCATCGACAGATCGTGGCGTAATTCGCCCGCCGTTGTCTCCCTGTCTTGGTGAATGTGGATTATGAATGTGAATGTGGGTGGATCATTTCAGTTAGATTTTTATTTCCTACAAAGAGGATTCAAATGTAGGTTGAGTAATGTGTTTAATGCAGCTTTGCACACATTTGTTCACATTTTACAGAAACTTAAAATCACATGGTTAATTTGCATAAACTTACAAGTGCTGAAAAAACAGCTCGCTCCTTGTGTGCTGATGCAGTCAGCTTCTCCGCGAGGCTCCTGACTACAGTAGCTGTAATGCTCCAACAATCCTTCAAGAGGCATGACTACGAAGCTGCACCGCTCTGACAGATTTTTGAGCACCGTGTACCACATACAGTTGGTTCGAGGTCAGTAACACAACCAGAATTAATATATAAGACGCACTGGATTATAAAATGCATTGTTGATTTTTGAGAAAATTAAAGGATTTTAAGTGCATCTTATAGTCCAAAAAATATGGTAATAATTAAAATTCAATTAAAATATCACCTAAAATAATAATATCTCGTGTTTAATTTCTGAATATTTCACATGTGACATGTAGTAAAAACTTTGCAGTCTTTAACCTCATGATGTTTATAATACTGGAAACTTAGAGCTAATGTTGCTCTAGTTGGACAGATGCACAGAATGGCCATGTTTCACTCAGTTTGCCCCAAGGCAGCTGTGGCTCTGAACAAAAACAGGGTTCAAAACCTTTTACACCTTGAGGCAAAACTGTAAAAACACTGTGAGGAAAAGTTTCAGACAAAACTGTCCAGCTCCACACACACCAGTATTTTCAGAATGGAGAACAACTTCTGGGTTGGAAGTGAAAATGATTTTAAAAAGCAGACTCCCTGTGACACTTTAGAAGGAATGAGATGACACTGATCATGACATGTGCTGTGACCAGAGTTGGGAAGGTGACTTTTAAAATGTAATCCCCTACAGATTACAGATTACACACCCCAAAATGTAGTTTGTAACATAATCCACTAAATTACTTAAAGTGAGTAACGTAATCTGAATACTTTGGATTACTTGATTTGCTGTAGAGAAGCAAAGACAAGGAAATCTTCACATTGTTTGCTAAAAGAAAATGAAAAGGCCGAGTCTTTAAAAATATCATTGATAGAAGAGGAGGAGACACAGTCCGCGCAGCATGGTTTAGTCCTGGTTTAGTCCTGTTAAATCCTGTTTTAGACCTGGTTTAGTCCTGGTTTTAGACCTGGTTTAGTCCTGGTTTAGTCCTGGTTTAGACCTGGTTTAGTCCTGGTTTAGTCCTGGTTTTAGACCTGGTTCAGATCTGGTTTAGACCTGGATTAGTGTCCGGCAATGAGTGGAATTACCAAGAAAAAAAAGGGGGGGGATATAGCCCCAAATGTGAAAACAGGAAAATACCGCCGTGTAATCCATTTATTTCAAATGCAACTACAAAGTAACTGTAATCCAAGTACCACTCACTGAAACAGTAACTGTAACTGAATACAGTTACTCATAATTAGTACTCTGATTACATAACTCTGGTACATGTAATCTGTTACTCCCCGACACTGCCTGTGACAAACATCATGGATCAGGTCTGGTGTGAGATTACACTCTCCACTTACATCTGGACTCATCTATTTACATGTGTTCACACACACTTTCAACTCAATGAATGTCTTCTTCCTCCCTGTCTCCTCTCTCTCTCCCTCTCCTGTGCCTTTCCTCTCCTCCCCACATCCCCCTCTCCTCCCTCCCTCCTCTCCCTCCCTCCCCCTCTCCTCCCTCCTTCCTGTCCTATCCTCTGAACAGTTTGTGTAATTACACCACTATAGCTCCCCTCCTCCTCCTCCTACACCCCCCTCCCCTGTCCCTCAGTCTCTCCTCTTCTCTCTCCTCCCTCCCTCTCTCTGTTTCCCCCTCTCCTCCCTCCTGTCCCATCCTCTGAACAGTCTGTATAATTACGCTGCTGTAGTTCCTCTCTTTGATTCTCTATTTGCTTGTGTCTCTGGAGTCTTGTGTGAATAATTCATCTCTTTGTCTGTGTGGCTGGTTTGTGGTTTGTGGGTATTTTGTGGGAGTTTTGTGGTAGATTTACGAGCTGGAGACCGGAGCGTTCGACTGAAATGATCCGAGCGTTTGAATCTCTGTCACTTTCATTTGAAGGGGCACAAATAAACACCACGTTCTGTTTGTCTCAATAAAGATCAACAAGGAACTCTTTTATAATCTACAACTGAGCAGCACCAGCAACCAGGACTAAAACAGGACTAAACCAGGACTAAAACAGGACTAAAACAGGACTAAACCAGGACTAAAACAGGACTAAACCAGGACTAAAACAGGACTAAAACAGGACTAAACAGGACTAAAACGGACTAAAACCAGGACTAAAACAGGACAGGACTAAATCAGGACTAAACCAGAACTGAAAAACAGGACTAAAACAGGACTAAAACAGGACTAAACAGGACTAAACAGGACTAAAACAGGACTAAAACCAGGACTAAAACAGGACTAAACAGGACTAAAACAGGACTAAACAGGACAGGACTAAAACAGGACTAAAGGACTAAAGGACTAAAACAGGACTAAAACAGGACTAAACCAGGACTAAAACCAGGACTAAACCAGGACTAAACAGGACTAAAACAGGACTAAACAGGACAGGACTAAAACAGGACTAAACAGGACTACAGGACTAAACCAGGACTAAAACAGGACTAAACCAGGACTAAAACAGGACTAAGGACTAAAAACAGGACTAAAACAGGACTAAAACAGGACTAAACCAGGACTAAACAGGACTAAAACAGGACTAAAACAGGACTAAACAGGACTAAAACAGGACTAAAACAGGACTTAAACCAGGACTAAACAGGACAGGACTAAACAGGACTAAACAACTAGGACTAAACAGGACAAGGACTAAAACCCAGGACTAAAGGACTAGGACTAAACAGGACTAAACCAGGACTAAACAGGACTAAACCAGGACTAAAACAGGACTAAGGACTAAAATAAAACAGGACTAAACCAGGACTAAAACAGGACTAAAAGGACTAAAACAGGACTAAACCAGGACTAAAACAGGACTAAAACAGGACTAAAACAGGACTAGGACTAAACAGGACTAGGACTAAACAGGACTAAAGGACTAAACAGGACTAAAACAACTAGGACTAAAACAGGACTAAACCAGGACTAAAACAGGACTAAACAGGACTAGGACTAAAACAGGACTAAACAGGACTAAAACAGGACTAAACAGGACTAAAACAGGACTAAAAACCAGGACTAAACCAGGACTAAACAGGACTAGGACTAAACAGGACTAAACCAGGACTAAAACAGGACTAGGACTAAAACAGGACTACAACAGGACTAAACCAGGACTAAAAGGACAGGACTAAACAGGACTAGGACTAAACCAGGACTAAAACTAGGACTAAACCAGGACTAAAAGGACTAGGACTAAAACAGGACTAAACCAGGACTATAAAAGGACAGGACTAAACAGGACAGGACTAAACCAGGACTAAAGGACTAAAACAGGACTAAAACAGGACTAAACAGGACTAAAACAGGACTAAACCAGGACTAAACCAGGACTAAAACAGGACTAAAACAGGACTAAAACAGGACTAGGACTAAACAGGACTAAACCATAAACCAGGACTAAAACAGGACTAAACAGGACAGGACTAAACAGGACTAAACCAGGACTAAAGCAAGGACTAAAACTAGGACTAAAAGGACTAAACCAGGACTAAAAGCTAAACAGGACTAAACAGGACTAAACCAGGACTAAAACAGGACTACAACAGGACTAAAAGGACTAGGACTAAAGGACTAAACAAGCAGGACTAAACCAGGACTAAACAAACAGGACTAAAACAGGACTAAAACCAGGACTAAAACAGGACTAAACTAAACCAGGACTAAAACAGGACTAAACAGGACTAAACCAGGACTAAAACAGGACTAAAACAGGACTAAACAGGACTAAAACAGGACTAAAAACAGACTAAACCAGGACTAAACAGGACTAGGACTAAAACAGGACTAAAACTAAACAGGACTAAAACAGGACTAAAAGGGACTAAAACAGGACTAAAACAGGACTAAAGGACAGGACTAAAGGACTAAAACAGGACTAAACCAGGACTAAAACAGGACTAAACAGGACTAAAACAAGACTAAACAGGACTAAAGACTAAAACAGGACTAAAACAGGACTAAAACAGGACTAAACCAGGACTAAAACAGGACTAAAGGACTAAAACAGGACTAAACCACAGGACTAAACAAGGACTGAACCAGGACTGAACCAGGACTAAAGCAGGACTAAAACAGCTCTGAAACTGGACTAAGCCATGTGACAATCAGTATTAAACCAGGTCTGAATAAGGACTGAACCACAACAGAACCGGGACTAAACCAGGTCTAGCCTTGAACTGCAAAGAGAACGGTCGAATATTTCTTAAGAAAAGTGGAAGTGGCTGCAGAAGTTGTGGGAGCTGGTGTACGTTGGCCTGTTACTGTGGAGATGATTTATGGGCCCTCCTCTGTTTTATGCTCATTCACAAACTGCTCCTGCTTTCCCTGACACACAGAATCCACCAAACGATAAAATGAAAAATGGCCGACAACCTCCTCTCT